AAAACGCCTTTTCAATCTCCCACAAAAAAATACAAACTTTGCCTGATATTCGCCAAATATCAGGAGACGGTCGGCTTAATGATTTTATAATTTCTCCAGAATCGAAGAAAAGATTGGCTCTCTAACACAACTATTCGGCTTACGGTAGAAGCTATATATTTATATGCATATGTTCATGCATACATTAGGTGTTCATCTTTATTTTTGCCCTCTTTTGAGGTGTCATCAAATGTAACTTACTCGTAAGCAGAAAAGTAATCAATTTTACACTCGCTGCAGTGCGCATGACTTTATATCGGATTTTTCCATCTGCTTCTGGTCACGTCGCTTCATTTACCGGGTGGCAGCTGGTAATGGAGTTTTTCTATTTCCTTGAATATATGTTTAATGTGTATGCCCTTTTAATTAGAGTGACATTGTAAAGTGATTGTTACTGGTCATGCTGTCGATTTCTAAGCGCTTTGATGATCTAACCTCAAATTGTGTCAAAAAACTTAATTGTTCTGTTATTAACACTTTCAGATTGTATTTTCAGTTTTATTTACAATATTCAAAACATGAAATTATTATGATTTATTTTTACTCCCTTTGTATGTTACTGTGATTTACTCGTAAGCTCACACAAAGTCGAAATTATGGAAGTTACACGTTCTCCATCCAACATTGCGTTTGCACTTAATCATGTAAATATACAATATAAGTATCTGTCTGTGTAGTGCATACTCCACTCTGAGTATGCAATGTGTCGTTGGCACAGCAGTGGGTACACAGTTCAAGTGACGAATACAATGGGTGCCCACTGTGCTCGTCGTCGCTCCGTTGTCACACCTACTCAAACCTTTTATTAATGTGTACAAGTTTTTGTGTGCGTAATACGAGGGTTGCTCTTTATATGTTGATATCAGCGAACAAAACCACTTTAACGAAAAGTCGCCTGTTTTTGAGGCGTCAAAAAATTCAAAATTTCCTTAATTTCTTCTAGATCCGTTCAAAAATATTAAAAAAAATAGTATTCAAATATTCACTGGCGAATTCGACATATATTCGAAACTAGAGCAGTTTTAGTGGCCGAGCCTGGAGCAGGTTCGAATGCTCGGGCAGAAATTTGAAGCGCGTTCTCGAATAATCTACTGTGAGCAAAAAGTAAGGTGAATTTTCAATTTGAGCTTCGCAGGCTTATTATTACGGTTTAATTTTTTTTTTAAATGTTGGCAGCACTGTTATTGACATCTACGCTAAATTTTATGTCAATGACATTACTAGTATTTTGGTAACGCTTGTGTTTACTAAACGACTAAACAAGTGCCTTCGGCGATTCTTATAATGTCTGCTTTACTTGAGCAAAGAAGTGCGACCAAATTTTGTTTGCGGAACGAATTTTCGGTTGCTGAAACGTTGAGGATACTACAGAAAGCCCTTGGGGGCTCAACTGTGTCGTGTATGAGTAGCACAAACTGACTTCAAACAGGGTCGGAAACGTGTTGATGACTTGAAGCGCTCGGAACGACCATCAACGTCAACTGAGGTGCAACTCGTCAATGAAATAAGGAGTTAATGCTCAAAAATCTTCGATTAACTGTTAGAGGCCTTATTGATATGACTGGAATATCAGAAGGATCTATAAAAACGATTTTGAAAGACTATGTGGGCCTACGAAAGGTCAAATCTCCTTTGGTTCCAAAAACACTCAATTTCACGGAAAAAAGTCGTGGCGTTGATGTGTGTGAAACCATGCTTTCTGACTAGCAGGCCAAACTGAGATGACATGTGGACTTAGCACCAAGTGACTTCTGGCTCTTCCAAATACTCAAGAGACCACTTCAAGGACAAGTACATTTTCAGTCGTTTAAATGCAATAATTTTCTTCCCTTTCCAAAAAATTGCTGAAAGAACTTTTTTCGAGTTCAAAACGAGGCTAGTGCCTTAAGATCTATACACATTTACTGGTCTTTGAACCAATTGTCGAAGTATTTTTGCCACTCTGATTTAGGTATCTTCGAGTGTGTCGAAAACCCTTGACCTTTCAGTTTATTCTTTACCTTTTCAGTTTATAGTCAGGGCTATACGGTGGATGACTCATCAAATTTATATTTTGATTGCTCAAAACCGCATTTTTTTCAGAGGATGTTTGAGAGCTCGCATTGCCGTTAGTTGGTTTTTTTGACTTCTCGAACAACACTGGCGCATAAATGGTTGTGTATCTAGTGATACTGTTGCGACATGTACAGTATTTCAAAAAAGTAGGCAACTATTTCCTTGGAAGTTCTGCGTGTGCGAATATAATCTGTTGGATTCAGTTCATTTTTAAACAGTCGACTGATGTTTACTTTCAAGCTCAGTCGCATAAATCCACGATCTGTCATGATATCGTATTTAAAAGCTTCTCTCGACCAACCGATACGCGTCGTTTTTACAGCGATTGACAAATTGTGTGGCATCCAAAGTGGACAAATGGGTATGTATGCTGGTCTCACTAATTCTTATAGTTTTCTTGAACTCACGTATGGTCACATGACGTTCTTGCAAGGATCAATAGTTTTCAGAACAACTGATTTTGAACGACCTTCACAAATCTCATAATTTAAAGGGTAACCCTCGTACCATTGGCATTTTTAGCGTTTAACGAACTTTGGCGTTGAGATTGCGCAAAGTATTAATAAAACGTATTACTTTCATATGGACATACATACATACATACATACAACATAAGTATGTACAAATGTATTTTCCGCATTATCAAACTGTCTCGTTAACTTCGTTGCTGATAAGTGTTCGGGCTTCCTGGTGTGCAAACGTAACAAGCTTACAGAGTGACTTACTTTATCTGGAGTAATTAACTTAGTTCGTGCATGCATACATAACATACATACATACATAGCATACATACATATGTATTTAAAAAAAAAGAGTTGTTATGACGATATAATAAAGTGATGAATGTGATAAGAAAATGTATAATTAATAAATCTACAGTCCACCATGAATTTAGCTTTTTCGCCATACACTCGCATACGGAACGGAATTTTTTTACGATATCGATATGGTCAATCTGTTTTTGTGAAGTTGCTTAATTAGTTTTCTTGTGCTAGAATCTACCACTAAAGACAACCATATTTCGAACTCAGGCGAAGTCGATCAGTTCCAATCCATTTGGGAATGTTTCGCCGTGTAGGCTGAATTTTCAGAGAGTTATGTCGAAGGTACCCTCCTTGCCCGTCGCCAAGCCTGATTTTCACAGCTTGGCTGGGGCAACGCGCTCATAGAAAGTATCCTTGGTCACATCGTCCGTCTATTGTGGCGAGGTGAATGTCAGTATTCGGCCACGGTGTCTCTCTTCCATCACAAATCCGACACCAAATTTGCGCCGTTGACACTGCTTGGACCGCGGTGATGTCAGCCTTTAGGGCAGCGGGACCTACCCAATTAAGGGACTGGAATCTCTTCCGAGGCGTTGCAAAAATTTTTATTGGAGCTGGTTTCTACGTGGCGGGTCTCAAACCCCGCGCACAACCTCGCTAGGCGAGTAAGTTAAAATTTTTTACACTTTCATATCGGCTCGCTATATTTTTGCTTCAAAAAAGACGCCCGCTATAAGCCACACCTTTGGGGAACAGACGCTGCATTTAGACAGCGAACCCTTACACCGCATACGTGTATGCCGGAGTGACTGAAGCTTCCTGTATTTTAGCTGAGGCCCAAGGCTCCACACCTGTTGGTTACCGCATCTTGCACATGCGTTACTCACGTTTCTATAACTAAGAACTTGCAATGAATTAACAGATTATCAAGTGCAGCATTCTCTGTCAATGTTCCCTTCTGAAAGGCAAGCTGATTGGAGAATAGCCTCTTATCAATGGTCTAGGAAAGTCCAGTAGTAATGTGTACTATGATCGTCCCTAATGCCTATGGGCATAAAGTCCTAAATTACGCGTACTTTTCTCTACCTTGGGAATGAAGACGACTTGTACAAGTCTCCATGCCTGTGGTACGGTTTAACTTTAAGCCTGCGAGGACTAAGCTGTGCAGGGATATTGGCGACCGGCCCAGAAGCTTTCTTTATACGGACTGAAGGTTCTTAAGTAAAGCCAAGTGAGTTATCATGTATACAGAGGAATAGACGACTCGTCATTCCGTGAAATACACCGTTATCTATAACCACTATCTGAAAAACTCTAATATTCGCTGTGTACATAGTAAAGCCGAGTATAAAAACTGCTGTGCTAAAACTGAAAAACGATTTGTTGCTTGCGTTTTGCACAACACTGTACGCCTAAGTCGTAGGAGTGCAATGCATCTTTTTTTTTAAATACCTTGATAACGTACGAATACTATTTATATGATATTCCTTATCGTCTCCACTATTAACCGGTGGTGTTTTACGCTTCTTCACTTAGTAAAATATTTATTTTTAATGGTTTTAATCAGCGCAAACGGTCTTGTGTTAACCTCATGAAAGCACAAAGGATTATAATTGAAATAATAATTATTTTATAATATGATTATGCCGCCCACATAGTCAAGCTTCTCTCAATTGGCGTAATAAGCATTAACAGATGGTAATCACTTGGGCCGAGGTCCAGACAATAATGTGGGTGCATAAGAAGCTAACAACCCAGCACTCGGAGCTTCGGGCGAGTCACTATCGATGTGTGTGTATGGTCTGGCGTTATCCTGATTAAACACAATTCCTCTCCTGGCCAAAGTTGTGAGCTTCTGGGCAATTATTTCTCTTAGACGGTCCGATGGCTGGCAGTACAGGTCCGAATTAGGAGTTTGGCCGTAGGGGAGCAACTTATAGTGGATGATTCCTTGCCAATATTTTTGGAAAAATAATGGACTACTTTTTACTAGACCTTATATATGTTATAATATAAATATTTACATTATATACTATTTGCAAAAAAAAAATTAGTAATAATTATTGTTATAAGTCCGTCCACTTAGCATAAATTAGTCACTAAAAATATTTTTTTCATTTTTTATTTTAATTCTAGAAATGACAACAATAACAGCAACAGCAGCAAAATAAAAGCAAAAAACGTTTGGCAAAATATTTCACCGAAATTTTCCAATTCAATGCGTATAGTATATATGTTTATGTATATGTATATGTATACATATATTGGCTAACCTTTGCAACGACCACCGGCGGCACAAATCGACGAGATAAGCACAGGCGAGACGCGATGAAATTCTAGCAACAAAAATAAGAATATGCACAATATTATCTTGTGCACAACGACATACATACATATATGCATACAAACATACAAAATAATATAAAAAGCCAAAACAACAAAAGCGCAAATATCAAATGTTAAAAAGTAAAAATATTTCGACTCAAAATCAAATGCATCAACGCGCTAGTAATTAGAGTTCACCACCAACAATTAGATTTGTAAGCTAAATTACATGCAATACATACATACACACATACATACGTACATATGAACTAAGTAAAAGCGAAAATTTTGCACAGAAGCAGCGCGAATGTGACGTGATTTCTTCGTTTGGTCAGCAAACAAAAATTATCAGCAGGCACAAATTAAAGAAAAAACAAAATCTATATATAAAATAAATAATAATAATAAAAAACGAAGTAAAAAAAATGCAACATTTCTTTCTGCTAAAGAAAATAACTGCAAATAATTTGTACTAACAAAAAAAAAACAAAAATCTACACAATTTACGCACGTAACGATCGCACCAAAAAGATAAAAAAAAAAAAATAACAAGCAAAAAGCAAAAAGAAACAAAATAAAACTAAGTAAATAGAAAGAAAGAAGATAAACACACAAACAAAGGAGAGAAATTCAAAAAATAAAAGTACTTCAACGTCTGATATTTATATCTTAACTGCAAGCACTGCAAACTTAAGCGAACATAACTTAAATCCCTAACCAAATAAGCTAAGTAAAGCCAAGTCAGTCAACAACACAACAACAACAACAATAGATTACTAACAAGCACTTTTGCTCTTAACAAAGCGCGATCATACACATTAGCATATAGCGAACAGCCTACAGATCCGTCTCAACTACAAACAGCAAAAAAAAATTTAAAAAATTAAAAAGAAAAAATAGAAATAGAAAAAACAAAATTAATAATAAAAATTGAACAAATCTCAACTTTAGCAATAAACGCAGCGCCAGCAGCAGCAGCAGCATCACCAAAAATTTAACATTATGAATTCAAGCACAAAACACCTGCTGCACTGCACCCTCCTTATCATTGTGATAATAACATTTGAAGTATTCTCCGGTGGTATTAAAATTGACGAGAACTCTTTTACACTTGTCGATCCATGGACTGAGTACGGCCAAGTGGCCGCTGTACTTTTGTACTTACTACGTTTTCTAACTTTCCTCACGCTGCCGCAGGTCTTATTCAATTTTTGCGGTCTCGTCTTCTACAATGCCTTTCCCGAGAAGGTGGTGCTTAAGGGTAGCCCCATATTGGCGCCATTCATTTGTATACGCGTTGTGACACGCGGTGATTTTGCCGATCTGGTTAAGACAAATGTATTGCGTAATATGAATACATGCCTGGATACGGGTTTGGAGAATTTTCTAATTGAAGTTGTCACAGATAAACCAGTTAATTTAGCACAACATCGTCGTATACGGGAAATAGTCGTGCCAAAGGAATATAAAACACGTACCGGTGCATTGTTTAAGTCACGTGCTCTACAATATTGTCTGGAGGATGATGTGAATGTGTTGAATGACAATGATTGGGTCGTACATTTGGATGAGGAGACATTGTTGACGGAGAATTCTGTACGTGGTATTATCAATTTCGTTTTGGATGGTAAACATCCATTCGGTCAGGGTCTCATCACGTATGCCAATGAGAATGTGGTTAATTGGCTAACCACATTGGCGGATAGTTTTCGTGTGTCGGATGATATGGGTAAATTGCGTTTGCAATTTAAATTGTTTCACAAGCCGTTGTTCAGCTGGAAGGGCAGCTATGTTGTAACGCAGGTGAGTACGGTACGGGGTGGGGTAAGGGAGTAAAAATAATTAGAAAATAAAAAATAGTATGCTACCGCTGCTGTGCTGTAGTCTTTATACCTTTCATGCTGGGAGAATAATGTTATTTTATAAACTGAAGTAACGAGCAGAAACTTATGTCCTTGAGGCCAGTTTTCTCCAAAAAAAAAAATCCAAAAAATCAATTTTTTTCCCTGTAAACTGCTAGAAAATACTCTTAGAAATTATAGAGAATAAATCCCGAGGGTCCGCAAGACCAAGAAGTAAGTATAGAAGAGTGGAGAGCAGAACGCGCCAAGCGGTAAATCCGGCCGCTCGAGTAGTTTAATCGGCTTTTGCTCGAAACCACGTTTTTCAACTAGTATCTATTGATCTTATCAACATGAACTTATGAACTTAACGGTATTTTACTCCTTAAATGTCTTTCTATGGTTGGTACTGCAACCAAAAATATTCATTGTAATTAAAAAAAAATTTATGAACAATTAAAATTGAAAAAAGGGTAAAAAAGAACTTAAAAAGTCCGATTTTTTTTTTTTGTGAAAATGTTTTAATGTCCTTCCGGCCATAGCCAATGTGATACAGAATAAGCAACCGTTTTGCTTTTTGTTTTCAGATGATTCGTTTTACAGTTATAGTGTCACTCACCAACAAAGGTGACGTGTTTCAGTAACAATTTTAAGAGCCGTCATTATAAAAAAAATATTTCAATTAATATTTTTATGCATCTATTTATCTTCAAAAGTTTTGATTTACAAATATTTTTTTTTTTTAATAAATAAAATTTGTTTGAAATAAAAAAAGTTTTTGGACTAACCTAACCCGAAGGCGTAGGGTATAGTCTATGCAATTTTATTATTTTTTTCTCAGTAATTTTTTTTTTATAAAATAATATATAGTATCATTACTTTATGTTTGAATAGAAAATTAAAAACAAAAATATTAATCTAGTACCAAGAGAAGGGCCCGGCAGTGATCATCACAATTCCTTTGAAATTCATCTAAAATCAATTGTATAAAATAGTTTTTCAATCTAACCTACTGTCCGAACAAAGTTAAAAAATATAACAAAAAATATAATTTTTTCACAGATTTTCGCGAAAAAAACCAACAGTTAATTGTTTAAAAAGTCTACAATAAACTAAAAAATTATTCCCGTTTTTTAAGTTTTCTATTAAAATCCATTGAGCGGTCACCACTTCAAAAATCCAAATTTTGAGAGCGCAAGCGTTTAGGCGATCCCAAAAGCCACTTGTTAATTGTTTAATAGCACTAAAACGGTTTTATCGGTTTAATTTACTTTTAGCTTTTCATTGCATTTAATTAAATATTTTCATTGTTTTCTCTTTCATTTCGCCCCCACAGGTCGGTGCTGAACGTCAAGTGTCCTTCGATAATGGCATCGACGGCTCCGTAGCCGAGGATTGTTTCTTTGCAATGCGCGCCTTCTCACAGGGTTACACTTTCAATTTCATCGAAGGTGAAATGTACGAGAAATCACCATTCACACTACTCGATTTCCTACAGCAACGCAAACGTTGGCTCCAAGGCATACTATTGGTGGTGCACTCAAAAATCATACCACTCAAACATAAACTCTTACTGGGCATAAGCGTCTATTCGTGGGTCACCATGCCACTCTCAACATCGAATATTATTTTTGCCGGCCTCTATCCGATACCATGTCCGAATTTAGTAGATTTCGTTTGTGCTTTCATAGCTGCCGTCAACATTTATATGTATGTCTTTGGTGTGATAAAATCATTTTCACTCTATCGTTTTGGGCTATTGAAATTTATGGCCTGTGTGTTGGGCGCCGTTTGTACCATACCGGTGAATGTGGTTATTGAAAATATCGCTGTCATTTGGGGTCTATTCGGCAAAAAGCATAAATTCTATGTGGTGCAAAAGGATGTGAGAGCAATGGAGACAGTGTGAGCGGCATGCAATGGAGCAGAGCTACTGCAGCATATTTGTGTAAAATTTATTTGGGCAAACGGCATGCGAGCGTAAAGGTGAGTGTTGGTCAAGAAGGACAAAAAGATATTTAGAAAATTAAAAATTTTTCTATTTTTAAACTAACGAAATTTGAAATGCTAAAAAAAAATAAAAATAAAAAAAAAAATTTACTGTATTTTGTTAAGCCTAAAGCCAAAGTTCAGTAGTCTAAATATTTCTTCAATACATACTAAACTAAAATGTATTCTCTTCTCTTGCAGAATGTGCTCTTCGGTGCAAATAGCCTATCACAAACTACAGCTACCAAAAAATTACAAAAACAAAAACATAACAGTTACTTTGTGGTGCGATACTCAACTATACAAGCGACCTTTGCTTTCATGATTGCCGCCAACGCCCAATTAGTCAATGTCACCCCCAAAGCTTAGACACGCCGCCGCCTGTATCGCTGTTGCTGCTACTGCTACTGGTCACCAAAGCGAGACACTATCTCCTGCGCACTATTCACCTTTTGTTATTGCATACATATGTATATTCTAATTAAAATATTTAATAAATGCGAGTTCACGCACATACGCCACCACGACCGCTAACACCACCCATTCGCACACTCTTCATAAACACAAAACAGCGCCAATACAAGACAAGGCACACGCGTACAGCACAAATCCATTTACACAATTAGTTTTCACTAACACACACACACACACACACATATGTAGCATATAGAAAAAGAAAAATCATTATAGTTTATATTGATTAGTATATACATAAATATATGTATGTATGTACATATGTATATCATACATTTACAAAAGTAATTAGGTCGAAATTTGTTTAATATATTTAATATTATTGTAAATTAAATACTTAGTGCAAACGGTTATTACAACAATTGCAATTGTATAATGACTAAGAAGTAAAATGTTGATTCCGTTGATGATTAATAGTGAATTAATTTTGTTAAACAATTCATGCAAATACCGCTTAATAGTTACGCATTACACACAAATAAGTACATAAAGAAACTTGCAACAAATAATTCTTATTGAAAAAAATAAAATAAAATAAATTAAAAATCAATTTGAAAGACTCATCAAAATGTAAAGTAGTAAGAACTATATAAAACAAAAAAAAAAAAACAAAAAAAACAGAACAATTCAATCAAATTAACCTTTAGTGTAACTTTATGCAATACATATATTTATTGACTTCTTATGTTGGTTCAGACAACTCGCTGAAATCATTTCCTTTATACTCACTACTATTACAAGTGCGCTTCAATTGGTTGCTTCCTTGAAATTTTCGTCTGGCTCCAATTACAACCCGCTTCCCGCACATTTCCTTACTTTCATAAGCCTACTGCAATATACAACATACATATATATTTTTTGTACAATAAAAGCTAATTCAATACCTACATACCTAAAGCTTGTGAGATTCTTCGTTTAAACTCGGCTCTGTTGTAAATTTATTTTCCGCTATTTTCTATTTACTTAAGCATTAGTTTATATTTATTTAAAATGTATCATTAAAATTCTCTTAAGTTGAAATACGTATTGGATAAAAAATAAGTAATAAATAAAATCAGCAAAAACAAGTGAAAAAGGATTTCCCTTAAAAAAATTTGTTGCAAGTTTTTAAAAAATAAAACAAAAATAACAAATTACACAATTAAAGCTTTACCAAGTTGGTTAATAAGTTATGCACATATTATTTTCTACATATATATTTTCCTTTTTTTTATACATAGTAACATATATACAATCTTTTTTATTATCATTTTTTGTTTATATACTCCATCATTGTCGTATTAGTTGTAAGTGTAAAAGATAAAACGCAAAAAAAAAATCAAATAAAAAATGAAGCAAATTCTTGAATTGTTAACACACAAACACACATCAATAAAAAATCGTAAACGAAATAAAACAACAAAAAAGTATTACCATAAAAATGCCATTTTGCTTTTTTATTTTTCTTACCATGCAACATTGTCTTCGTTTCACACAACAATTGGCGGTATGTATTTAAATAAATTTAAAAAAAATGCCTTTAAATAATTCGTACGGGCTCATACTTATAAAAGTATTGTTGCGAGTATTTCACATATATCGTGTTGCATTGCTAATGCGCTGAATTTTTCTTTATTCCGCAATAAATATATATGTATATATATGTATATTCAAAAGCAAAAGCATATTCATTTTCAATATTCCAATAATAAAATAAAAATAAGAATTTTTTTTATCAAAAACACAAAAAAAAAATTAATTGCTCCAGGTGAGGCTCGAACTCACAACCCCGGCATTGCTCACTAGTTACTGATTATAAGTACCGTGCGCTAACCAATTGCGCCACTGGAGCTATATTGGTTTGGCGACAAAATACCTACATCAGTGCCAACTCAGTGCTTTCTTTGTATAGCTATTTGCCCATATGAGCATGCAATCAGGGTTGCATTGTAAAATGATAAAAATAATTCGTAGTAAAAACATACGGATGGCAATGAGGATTTCACATATGCAGTTATATAAATATATTATATCATATTAAAAAAAATTTACAGACGTATACAACACTAAATTTATTTAATTTTTAATAAATTTTTTAAATATTTAATTAATTTTAAAAAATATATATATATTTATAAATGAAATATAGTTTAAGTTTTTTGTCAATACTGTTAGTTGAAAGAATAGATTTTTTTCTCTCAATTTATTCTCTTAATTATTGCTGCTTTATTTGTTATTAAAATGTTTAAACTGTTAATAAAATAATAAATACAATTTTCAAGCTTAAGCACCTTTTTTTGTGAAATACAATGTTATAAGGATATTTTTTTTTTATTGTAGAGACCTCGCTAAAGAAAAACATAATTAGTCCATTTCATCGAGATTGTCAAACAGAATACTCAAGTAGTGAACCTATTTCGACGGGTTCGGGTAAAATAATGAGGAATGTTAGGCCAGTGGGTTTTTGTGTGCATGCAAATGGCGTTTGAGACCTCTCGGTAGCTCGTTCGACCCAGCAGCTTTGTGTTATAGTGCTACAGGTATTTAGTGTGAAGCAGGGGTATGCGTGTGTTATGTTCTTAACTGGTATCATGAATGTTCCACCCAAATGGTGCACGATCAACATTGGGAGATTTCTTGTTACGGGTTTTAAAGCAGTTTTCGGACAGATTCATTTGCGTTTTGGTAGCTTCCGAGGCTCAAGTCGATCAAATGGGAGGAACGATAACAGTTTAGTAGCACTACATCGCTTACTGGGTCAAAGGCTTCTGACAAGTACTACCAGAGCGGTCCAGTGGCGGAGGCGTCATCGGTTAGGGCACAATGAGTAAAATCGTTTATTTTCTGCATCATCTCCTTTTTCTAAGTTTGTTTGACAGTCAGTTATAGCTGACAAGGGCGTTATTTTAATTTTGCTCAATGTAATATTAGTATTCCATGCACTCAAATCTTTTTACGTAAGTAAAATCAAAGAGATTATGTACATACATCTAAACTTTTAATTGCCAGCAAATCAAGGTAAAATTATCTTCCAAGCTCAACAATTTTCAAATATCCCAACACTGTTATCGCATAGTTTTGTTGATCACCCGGGACATTTGCATGCCAAATGCAATCCTGTGTTTGGCAAACAGCTGACAAAAAGAACAAAATAAATGTAAATAAAACTAGTGAAAATATTTAAATGGTGTATTTTAGTGGAAAATAATGAGCTGGTTCGAAGCGAAGGGTCTAAATTGGGCTAAAAGTGCACTAAAAGAAGCCGTTGCATCCATAGACAAAGCGCTCGATATACAAGATGAAAATGAGGGGTATGATCAAAAGCCTCAAATACAAACGTCGACATTGTCTACGTTGTCAAATAGTGGAGCTGTGCGAAAACAAAAGCTACCTGGAGCTGCCAATCGCGAAAAAATTGACAGCGCAAATATGATTACAACACAAAGTAGTACTGTTCCAAAAAAATCCGCGGCTTCTGCACCGTCTACACCTATGGTCTCGTCGACGTGGGGTTCATTCACAGGCTCCTTTTTTGATAATCCAAATTCACAGGAAACAATTACAGCGCCACCCCGCACAAGCGCAGGTAGTGTGGATATGCTGGCCATAGTGGGTGTTACACCGCCAAATGAGGCAACATCCATGTCCGGCGTAATAGATGAAAAGGATATGTCAGCCACACATCGACCATCTATTACTTCAACAAATACCACATCCGATTCTGTTGAATTGCTCTCCACACCAGCTGCGTCTAGTAGTTCCGAACTAAAATCATTAGGAGTTGATGCTTCACCCTCTGTAGAGATCCTTAGTGAAGCTTCAACAATAGAAGGTGAAGTTGGAATTAAAGATATGCGTATGTCCGGAAGTGTTTCGCTGCCAGATAGTATAGTTATTATCTCGGAGAAAGATCAATATGACATTGAGGAAGATTCAATTTCGTTTAAAACCATTGTGGGCGATTTAACAGAAGCTGCGGAAAACGAAGGTAAGTTGCCAAAATGAGTTTGATTTATAAATTAAATAATCGTTTTCTACCAAATAGAAATTCACTCAGTACACTATCCAAATACTATTGAGCAGCCCGTAACATCTAAAAACAACTCTCCGAGTAAAAAAATGATTATATCCTTAGAGGATACACGTAGCGACTCACATAATGCTGATTCAGACTCTACGCAAAGCTTCGAAGATGTACAAATGCAGGCGACTTGCTCTGTTAGTCAATATCTAGAGAAAGTACAAGCGGTTTCGCCGGAATCAGACGAACAGGCCGATGCCTTAAATTCTAAAACCAATTCTTCACCACATAATTCAAATGATGAAATGGAGACTACTACATCTTCTGATATAGAAATTATATCTAATCCGAATGGCAATGGCGACTCCTCCAGTACAAATAGTATGACTCGTGCAAGTCCATTGAAGTGGAAAAAACTTATGACCGCACAGGGTATCGGGCAGTCGAGCAGCATGTCGACTTCAACAAAGAAAGGTCATTTTCGGGGGCCATCCGAAATTTCCATACTTTCTGAAGACTCACAATCTGAGTTGGATAAGCTGATGCATCGTATAAGCGAGCTGAGTGATACATTAGAAGCGCGTGAGTTACGTTTGTTGCAGTTGGAACGTCAGAATATGGAATTGCAAGAGCGCAATACGGAAATCGAGAACACACTAGAAACGCTAAAGACAAATAGTGGTAGCATTGATACTGCAGAAGGATTTACACAACGATTATCTGCATTGGAGAAGAAATTTCAAGCTAGTATACGTGAACGAGATGCGCTACGCATACAAATTAAGGACCTGAAAGAGGAGTTAAAACTCAAAATCCCTAAAGAGCAGTTGATTGAGAGCAACGTAATGATCGATGAGTTGCGGCTGGAAGGTTTGAGCATATTACATATTTAGAAACTAAAAACTTTTATCATTTTTACCTCTTTTTCAGGTGAAAAGTTATCAAAGGAAATTCTGCAGCAATCCAATATAATAAAGAAATTACGTGCAAAGGAAAAAACCAGCGATGCAACGTTAAAAAAGAATAAGGAGGAAATTGTCAGCCTAACTGAAGAGCTTGAACGCCTCAAAAAGCAATTAAACGCAAAGGAGGAGGTAGAACGTTCACAAATCGAAGCTGTGCATAAAATATCATCGGAGAAGCGAAAACTGGAGGACGAAAACTCTCAGCAGCGTAGCAAGCTAGAAGACATCCAGTCCAAATTGTCCACTTTACAAGCGAGCTTTGAAGCTGCTAAGCTTGAATTGCAGCAACGCACGCGCCAACACACAGATCTCACGCGAACCGCAGAAGAAGCGATTACCGCAAAGAAGGAAAGAGAAACACTCAAAGCTGAAAATCAAGAAATTTTAAATCAGCTAAGTGAGTTGCGTGAAAAATTACGTGGCACCGAGCAGGCAACAACAAAGCGTGAAACGCAATTACGCGAAGAGAATAGAGAACTGATGAGAAGATTGGAGGCGGCCGAGATGCGTGCAGAAGCGGCTGCACAAGAGGCGAGCTTGACGACTGTGCCACTAATGCGTCAACTAGAATCGCTACAAAATACGCTCACACAACGTACGAGTAATTGGAATCAGGAAGAGAAGATCTTACTCGATAAACTAGGTAGGTTGTAACATAGTTGGCTTAGGAATATTTGGCATTGAACCTTTTGAAATTTTTCACTCTATAGCTGCTGCGCAGACAAAGTTAAAATCACTAGAGAATGTGGAGACAAAATATGAAGAACGTCTTGAACTGTTGCAAAAACATTGTACCGAGTTGGAAGACTCGCTATCGCAAGCGCTACTGCGAGAGGAAAAGGCCAAAATGAGTTTGCAGCAAGTACAGCTGGAATATAATATGAAGGAGACCGTCTTGAAAACGTAATGAATTTCAAAACTTATAATTTTCGAATAACTTTTATAGATTTGTTTGTGTACCTCTACAGCCAGCAAACCGAGCTCGGTAAACAAATCGAGCAATGCATATCCAAAATTGAGACTTTGGAGCGTGCCAATAAAGTATTAGAAGAGAAATTGCATACCAAATCTGAGGAAAAACAGGAAAGCTTATTTGGGGTGGCTGAGCTCTCACAAAGTGGCATTGCCGAGGCTACACGTATAATGCCGCTAACAGTCGCCGCATTAGCGCCACATGAATTAGCTCGTCAGCAGTCACTGGAACAAACTCATCGCTCCCATTCGCCTGCCATGAGCTTCGAACGCAATTCACAGGAGGAGACGCTGGAGGGCGGTAGCATTGATTGGCAGGCAGTGCGTGGAAAATAGAAAATAATTGAGCTTAGTAGAATGTTGTGTGGTTTAATTTGTATGCATTTGTATTTGCAGGAAGATATCGATTGCATTTCAAACTCTGGCCGCCATTTGGGCAATCTAGCTTATGGCTTGAATATGAATTTCATGGGACATAATACATCAACATTGGAACATTTACAATCGATGCTGAAACAGCGTGATGGTGAGCTGGTGCATATACAATGGGAGTTGGCACGATTACAGGAAGGTCGCAGTGTGCTCGCGGAGGAAATTGCAACCTTGACGACAGAGCTTGAAACAGTGAGTTGCAATCCACAATAAAGCGTAATTTATAATGATTTGTATACTTCCTTTTTAAGGCAAAGGAAAAGTTGCTTTCCTACGAATCGCTGGACCAAAACTACGAGGAACTCCAGCATAATTACGATGCGCTATTGCAAATGTACGGCGAAAAAGTGGAACGTACGGAGGAGTTAGAGTTGGATCTTAAGGAGGCACGTGAGGCGTACAAGACGCAAATCGATGAATTACTGTCCCAACCCTCACGACCTACCACATGATATTTATAATCGTGCCGATATGCAAGTATGAACCGCAGCGCCCTAAGTTGGCTGAGTCATACGTACCGTCTGTTTGTTATCTGATTCCATTTTAGTTATAATTGTAATTATGATATTGTATGTAATTATGTTATTATATTAAATATTTTAACCGAAGTGTTGGGGTGTGGCAATTTATGCTACAAAATCGCAAAGTATGATTTAATAAAGTCATTTAAATAAATTCAAATCAAAGATTTATTAGCGCATTATGGATATTTTTTTCGCTGTCTTTATTAAAAACAGGATTTTAGATATCAATACATATAATGTATAAAATAACAAGACGTAAGTTAACTAATACTAATTTTACACAATTTTCATACATATATATAAAGAATAGTTTACAAAGTTTTCCCTCCAATGGCTTTTTCTAAACAACATTAGCTGGTCGCGCTGTAGGCGGTTGTGCGCTCGGTTTTGTCATAATATCCACAGCATTTTTGAATATCTGTGTTTTGACGAAATCCGTAGCCGCTGAATTGAGATCTGCTTTTGCACCGAAATTACACTTAATATAACCAAATAAATTTGCACCGTTAAGTGCCAGTGCAATCAAAACCAGTAGAAGCCATTTGAATTTCATACCTAATAACGCCACTAAGAAAAATAGACCCCAGCAAACGGGAAATAATATTAGACCTAACCAGAATATGCGCGCTTCGTTGTTATTTACTCGTCCCTTTTTCGACTCGAATACCCAATGCGATTTGCCTTCTTCGTCTACATAATTCCACCAACGCAATCCAACCAACAAGCGGCCAGTAATGTTTTTCACGGTCCAAAAGTCTGCGGACAAAAATAGCACAACAAACACAAAGCTGGTTATAAAGGAGTCAACGAACCAGCCGCAAAACATGTACATAACTACAGCGGCACCACGAAAGAAAAGATGGAAAAACGTCACATAAGGGTGCCTAAGAAAATAAGTATTAAGCATTTTTATTAAATTCATTAAATATTCATACTTACGTGTATTTTTTGGCAGCGACACTCGGATCGCGCATTTCATCCTCCTCACCAAAGGGTATGGTGTCATCTTCCAGCAATGGCACCTATATAACGCAATAGCGATTGCAGAAAAGACATGTTAATAGCATTTATACTGATTTACGTCTACAGGCTAGTTAGTAAAACCAATCCTGTTGAGTTAGTGAGTAGCATGCAAACCTACATTTCTTACCGTAGCCGAAGCCATTGTTTATGAATAATTTTTTATTGTTAAGTACTGCTTGATTAGAATGCAATTGTTAAGTTTGTTAAATGTTTTTCTGGTGTGGCAAATTAATCAGATTTTTATTTACTCTACTCTGCTTACGTTTGACATTTTTGCTGTGGCAGGAAATTTTTCATGAAAATTGATAAAATGTCATGGATATTTACATAAAATTGTAAAACGAATGTCAGAAATAACAGAGGAAACAATGAAGATTTAAAAAATGTAAAAATTGGCAAAATGAAGGTTTTTGTCTCAACTCATAAGTTTGAGTAACATTTTACACACTTGCAACATGGCTTGAGCAACAGTCTGTGTTGGTGTAGTTTAGGTCTATTTGCGCAAGTTCTAAATTTAAATTATTCACATATTCCTAAAACTATATGGGACAATTCGATTAAACTAAAATCCAAAAACACGTTTACAGAATAATGATCTCAAAGGGTTCTCAAATTTTTTTTGCACCTCAGACTGAGCAATGGAATGCTCTAAAATTTGTAAAGACTGCTTAGCTTCAAGTCAAACAGCAAGGTAAAGTTACAGATTATTGTAATTCTGAATAGACGTTATGTGTATGCTAAGATAAAATTTCGTAAAGTCTGCTCCGAAGAAGGTGCTATAATGTTCCCAAAAACTCAGCAAGGGCCATAAAATGGTCGCCCATCTAACAAGGTCATTTCTTGGCATAACGTAATTGAATTTTTAGAGGATAAAACTCAAAAATGATTCAAATCTTCTTAACGAAAGTTTAAATTATCACTTCAAATATTTCACCATTAGTAAAGATGTCATACTTTTGAATAATATGCACTAAACTGTGTAATGTCTAAATAACGTGGCATTCAAATTAATATCTGGTATATTAAAACAACAAAATAAAGCAAAAACCATGTGGTCATATATACAGCAGGTATTTGTTATCGACTCGCACCTTAATAAATATCCGTCATTTCTTTATAATATAAATACAAATATAAAATTATGTTTGCAAGAGCTAAATGATAGCAATTTAAATAGTAGTGCGTTTGAATCAAATAATTTTGTTAATTATTAAGTTAGCAAATTAGTTTTGGCAACATGCTACATGCCCAACATTTATAGGATACATGTTGCTAAGCAAGGTAGTGTCAGCACAGAGTTGCACCAATGTGTAACATAATTAGATTGACATTTTGTACAACATTTTTTGAATTATTTATATTTTATTGCAATTTAAATATTTAGTAAATTATTAAGTTCATTTCAAAATATGTGTACAAATAAATTTTGCATACAAACATCAGCTTCAAATGCCAAAGAGTATTTCGTAAAATAAATTAGAAATCTCATCCACCGGCCTTTCGAATACCTTCCACACAGAACTGAGCATACAGCACGATTCTCACATGCGGCAAATGCAACCCCGTAAATATATTGCGATTGCGCATATGGCAAATATGCTCTCATTCCATTGTCACAGTGACATTTTGCTTGTCATGTGCACCGGTTGTTGATTTGAAAAGTGTGCTTTGTGATGTGCGTTCATTAGAAACAGTGTGTGATAATCGTGTAGCCAATTGCTGAGAACACTTTGAAATCACTACTACTGATAACGATCGCTACCGCTTAATTGTGTGCAAACCAAAATAAAACAAAAGATAAAAGTATTGCAATCCAATTTAGTTTTATATTCACCAACATACAAAGCGTCTAGTGAATTTGGGCAAAGTATCAAAATATATCAATTCCATAAAAGTGTGCTTAAGTACCGATATAAGGTACATATATAAATCGGGCATAAATAGAAAGTTTAAAGCAACACCAATTTAATCTAAAGAAAATTTGCAACGTTGCTTCTGCATAAAGTGTCAAACTTTAGTTATCAAACAGGATCTGCTGTCAAAAATTTGTGGAATAAATAAAATAGAAATTTTGTTGAAATACGAAAAGTTATATAAAAACACAATTTGTTTTTGTTTTCTTTTTTTTTTTTGAAACTACTATGCAAAGTTAAGTGATTTAATAGAAAAATATTTTGTGGTTGTAAATAGTTAGGCGTGTGACTGTTTACATTCTCTCCTCTATTATTGTCTCCGGTTACATTTTGTTCTTGTAGCAATATGGACCTGTTGTGCACAGAAAATTTAAGGACTGATTATGATTGTGAAGTTCCGTATGTGCCAACGCAAATGCGAGCACATACCTATGCCCAAACACAACTACAACCACACCTACAATCACAACACCAACCCACTACAATCCACACAGCAGAAATAGCACTTGAATCAGGCGAAACCGAATCGAACGCAAATGGCGATATATCTAAGGAGCAAACACAGACGAAAGTAATGCTTGGTGCACCGTCACCTTATTCCAATTCTAGCTCGTCTTTACTCTCACCGGGTGGTTCAAGCTCACCCTCGTCCGGTTATAATTCGGCAACGAGCTCACATGCAAGTCAAACGCATATTCATAACGATGGCCGGCAGTATCATCAGGAAAATGATATTCAGAAACATCAGCATTATCAACAGTCACAGCAACAGCAACAGCAACAACACCAACAACAACACCAACAACAACAACAACAACAACAACAACAACAACATCAGCAGCAACAAAAACAACAAGAGACAAAACAAATGCAATATTATGAAGATCAGCAGGCTAGTAATAATAATGCTGTATATCTAAAGTCGGTGCCAAGTCGTGATTTAGGTTTCGTTAATAGTGCTACAGTAGATCCGATATTTTTAACTGATCGCTGCTTGGAGAATGCTTTGAAAGCAGAGGAAAAGTTGCCACAACCGGTTTGCACGTATTTCAAGACCGTGCAGAAAGACATCACGCCGCCTATGCGCAAAATAGTCGCAGAATGGATGATGGAGGTAAATTATATATATCTAATTTGTATTCTAAAATGAATAATGCTTAAGAATAGTGCAAAAGCGTAAAACGCAAAACAATTTTTTGGGATGAAATGCTTAGCATATGATTTGCTATTCTATAATACGCATACTATGCACATATACATATACCACTTTCTATATACACGTATGAGTATATCAGCTAAATATTCTGCTCGCTAATTAGATTTTTTGCTTGTCGGTTCTTTGTTTAAGAAAACGTTTATACTAACATATAATATACATACATATTTATGTATATATGTATATTTAGTAGATTTTGAGATAGGCAAAAATGTTGAGCAAAAGTTGAAATTTTGCGAAATTGCTTGGAGGTATGTATGTAAATATGTGCTTACAAAGATACTTCTAAAGCAAAAGTCATTCATTCATCATTTAAACATTTAACTATGATTTAAATTTTGAATAATGATTTGTTAAGCCTACGTTTTAAATACCACTTGTAATCTATTACCTGTATAAATATATATGTATGTACATATATACAATAGCTTAAATGCCTAAATGCGTGAGATTATTAAACTATTTTATTATGGTTTTTAGTTCTCTTGCACACTAAACCGTTTATTTGGGCATATTTAGCTGTTTTTTTTCACACATATTTATCTGGCAATTTGGATGGGGTTAGAGGCCAGTGGTGCATAAACTTGAACTTTTATACGCATACATACAAATTTATACAATAAATGTTTCTAATACTTACTTCTGTATAAGCAAACTAGCTGAGAGCTTGTTCAGACGTCTGCCAAAATGTGCTTAAAGCAAAATGAATAAAAAAGGAAAAAAAATATTAAAATAAATGACTTAAATAGCAAATGAAACACATTCAATGTATAAAGATGTGTATGGCGAAGTTTTTCAAATCTTTGCAGTTAATCAACACGTTGCATGAGTAACCATGCTGTCGAAGTAATGAATTTCCAACAACATTAATAACGTTCCTTTACATACAAATTTACATATTAAACATTTAAGTAATTTTCCTGGAATAGTTTGTACAACGTTCATGTTGTTTGCGGTTGTTACTTCCCAGTGAACTTTTTTTTGTTTATTTTTTTCAGTTGAAATTTTGCAACAGGCATTTATAGTGCATATCAACCAGCTGATTGCGATTTTTATATGCATTTATGTATTTATTTGAACGATAAGAAATTTTTTTTCTATATAAATAACACAGTAAAATTTGCACTGGCGCCAGATTTTAACCTTATAAGTGGTATATTAAATGAAAATTAAACACCTATACAAATATTAAATAATTACTTACAATAAATAATAATAATCATTCTCATTCTTCCGATTCGTCTCCGTTCGAATTGTTGTATAACAACGTGTCATTCATAAAACTATTGTTATAATAAATCAAATATACATATATACATATATATGTACACACATGCACATAAATACATATACTCGTATGTATATGTACATTTCACGTGGAATTCCTTAGCGTTTCCGTGCCGCCGTTGTGCCGTTATCTCTTAACGAATGCACATTTGTACAAACATATAAATGCATGTATGTATGTATGTAAATATATATAGGTAATAATTAAATTATTAAAAGTTGAAAACTAAAATCTAAAAAGCCCACTTAACGTTTTGCTGATTTCCTCACATTGCTCAGTTTATTGTGCTGTGGTACATATTGAAAAATTCTAATATTTCTGAGGTGTTGTATGTAGGTTTGGCTTAACATATTACACATGCCGCTTGTGTCATTATATTTTTATATAATTTATGCTTTAATTTTAACTAGAAATACTTTAAACACACTTTTGTCACCCTAAAAGTATACTTCGATTTTGAGAAAGTGCTATTAATTATAATTTAAAAAATTTTAAAATTAAAATCTAAGTAAAAATTTACAAAAAATTAAAATTACAAATTTAAAAGTCATGATTTTTTTCACCAACATACATACATATGTATATGTATATGAAATACATATTTATTTCAAAGACCTTCCATACATATATAAATACATACTATATATGTATAATATATAAAATTCGCCACCTAAAATTGTTGCATACTCGAAAATTACATTAAAATGATTTGTCGTAATCTAATCAACTAAACCCACACGCAAACACAACACAAAAAAAAGCAAATATGAAGATTTTTTGCATATAGCCTTATGTCTCCGGCGTACAGATAGAACTCTAAAAATATCAAAAAAGAAATACATACATGCATACATACATATGTACATATTATATTTTTAATATTTGCTTAATGCAAACATTATTTACTACGGGTTCGCAACACTTGACAGATCGCTGTCGCGCATGTTATTATGTAGGTTAATCGTTACTGAATTGTTATCAAATAAGAATAAAAAAACAAATTTAAAAAAAAAAAAAATTTTAAATAATAATGAATTAAAAAAATAGAAAAGAAAAATCATACGGCCGAGAAAAAAAAATAAATAAATGTTTGGAAATTCGGCAGAGATTTTTTTTGTCATGGCAAATGTCCAATAAAATTGGAAAATGTATTAAAAATAATAATAAATGAAGCGTTGAGTAAGACATATATATGTATGTATGTACGCATGTTTGTAAGTGCTACCTTTAGCATGCGATAGCGATGGACCTGAGTACTGAGTGTATTTTGACATTTGACTGATAAACTAAAGCCTCTTATAAGCCATATATAATATAAAACTAAATTATACATATACATATATATGTAGTTAAAATATATGTGTGTGTGTATATAGATATTTGTTTTTGTCCGCTTACTTATTTTGTCTCTGACAGGTGGTATTTTGTTTTTGGAGTCAACTCTAGTTATATGCTTTGCAACTTATATGTACATATATGTATGTATGTGTGTACATACTCGCATATGCCGCGTTGGAGCTGCAAGATACTTCGATTGTAGCAAATTTCTGTAACAGCTGCTGCGAACTCAGATCATTGCCACGTACGAAATAGAGGATATAAACAAAATATAAACGTAAACAATAGCATATTCTTTATTTTTCTTCTTCTTTTTCCTCTTCCACTACTGTTGTGGTTCGCATACTGAACTTGTTTAAAATAAACGTTTTGCTGCATTAATTTGTACACCGTTAAATGCAATATAATGTTTTGTAGCAAAGGTGAATGAAAAAACGACAGATGCAAACTGCAGACATCAAGCAACTTACATACATACATACATACATATAAAAGTGTGCATTGGCTTACAATCAAGGTAAACTTCGCTTACAGGATACCTCAGTCTTGCGTCATAAGAGCAATAAACACTTTCCAGTCGCTATGCTCCTTGCAAGACACACATGCATATATACCTACATATATACATACATACGCACATATTCAATAGCAGGAGTTTCGCAGTGGCATAGTCCTTGCCACTCAACACACTCAAAAAGGTGAGCAGCAGTGAGCAGTGAGCAGTGCAACTCGTCGTCTCATGCTTCAATGCTCGATTTAATAGTGTTCATATGAAGGGAGAGCATAGTATGAGGACAGCGGTTGCCAGCACACATGGCTTTTATAGGTTGAGTGTAAGAAACTCGACTGCCGGTGTGTGAGCGGTGGCTAAGTGTGTTGCTGTTATATTATTGCTGACTTACAAGAAATCAACAACAGACTTGCAGCTGCCTGTTAAGGATTTGAAACTACTACATACATATGTACATTCATACATATCTACATATGTATGTAGTCAAACACATTATTATTTATGGCATGCCAATAGGAAAAATAGAAATCAGCGCAGCGTAGACAAATTTGAATTAAGAAAAAATGAAAAATATCAACTAATTAAGTTTTTTAAGAAAAAATTTCTATAAAATCACTAAGCTCTCAACTGTTTTTATGAGAAATGGTTTCGTGAAAGAAATTCTCGCAATTAAATCATTGTTATAATTTGTTAAAATCTTTTTTTTTTTTATTCATTTACATGCATTTGCAAAATTACTTTTTAAAAATTACGTCATGCGCATACTATTTTGTTAAAACGTGAAATTTCTTGGGAAAAAAGACAAACAAAAAATTTTTAATTTGCCTTTTAAGAAGCTTTGAGCTACCCAAAACAAGTATTATATCCATACCATTAATTAATTAATACATTTTTTTTTCTCTCAATTTAAAACACATACAGAATATAAAGCAAATACATATAATATTTCATACGAAATATTTCATTAGAAAATAAATTCCGAAAAAAATTCCAGTATTTTTTAACAATAAATATGTACCTTTCACTAAGTGAAATTGTTGCGAGACAGTACATTTAGCGAAATAAAAACGAAATTTCTATTTAAAACTACCTGAGAGAGTATCGACAGAGCAAATAAATATGTGTAAGTGGAAAATATCACAGAAACAAAAAGTCTTCAGCAGCGTTTATATGCCACGGAGTACTCACGATGTTCTTAAAGCATAGACATCCTACCACTGTTAAGGATTACATTTGTTGTTGTACTTACTACACGACTCACCTTTCCAAGAAGTAATAAAGAAAAATAAATGAAACACAATTTTGTAAAGGATATTTCTGGCTTTGAAGGGGAATATATGTATGTATGTATGTTCCTCTATGTGTGTGTATATATAATAGCTGAATGTTTGCTTCTGTGTGTGTGTGTGTGTAAGATATTTAACAAAGGCGCTAGGCGGCAAACAAAAAAAAAACGAACAGCATAAGGAGTATAGAGGACAGGAAACGTAAAACTCTGCAGGCAATTGAAAAATATAAGTATACATATACACGTACACCACATATATGTACATATGCACATACATATATATATTTGTACTAAATATAAGGTATTATACCGGCAGTTGTGGCAATGAAAAGTAAAAGGAAGCAATCTTCTGACAGCGAACTGTTGCGTCTGCGCAGTGGTAGAATTTGCTTGTTCGCCTGCTTCAACGCGCGTACAGTTTCGCAATTGTTGACAAAAGGATATGTACACATGAGTAGTTGCTAGAATTTTAA